TGCCCTCATCATTCTTAAAACATTTGCTCTCCACTTAAGCCCCTGGCATCAGCTCATTTTCCCCCTCCCTCATGAAGCCTTGATAATTTATAAATTATTATTTTGTCTTATGTTTCACTGTCCAACATCTCTCTTCACCCACTTTTCTGTAGTCTGTCCCTCAGGGAGGAGGTTATATGTAGATCCTTGTAATCGGTTCCACATTTCCACCCCACCCACCCTCCACCCTCCCAGTATTGCCACTGGCACCACTGGTCCTCAAGGGATCATCCTCCCTGGATTCCCTGTTTCCAGTTCCTATCTGGGTACTACTTTCTTGATCTTGTTTGATGTAATCCCATCAGTTGTACATAGCAACCCAATTGACTTCTGCTTGTTGATCTTATATCCTGCCACTCGGCCATATTCCTCTATCACCTCCAGTGATAGCCTCTGTTGCCTTATATTATTAGCTACGACCTCCAGGACTATGTTGAACAAGGGGCACCCTTGTCTGGTTCCCTTTCTCTGTGGGAGTGTTTTCCACTTTTCTCCATTGATTGTAATGCTGGATGTTGGATTTTCATATATAACTTGAAGTTAAACAAGTGACCATCTAACAGGGAAGCAATAAAGTCCACATGGAAGAATCACATAAGTCTGTGTGATTAAGAGGTGTCGATGGGAATAGGTATCATAAATTCAAAAACAGGCAAATTGACATGAAAGAGCATCGGGAAAGTGGGGCCCCACTTACCATCTGTAAGATAATGGGACAGTCCCACTCAGAAGGGCCACATGGAAGGGATGATAGATCCACAGGGTGCACTATAGACTGTTGAAACATAACTATCCTCCAGTTCTTTAATATTTCCTCCCCCTACTATTATTTTCTTAGTTTTACCTCATTAATCCTGTTAGACCTGCTTATGCTTATGGTATAATTAAGATTGTTCACTGAATGAAATCCAAGATAGATAAACCCTTCAGGAATTTCAATGGGATTAATGATTCCCTGAGAGTACAGAAAGAGGGGGAGGGGGAACTGATAGCAATGATTGTATAATCCCACTGGGAATGAACAACAAATGGCAGGTGAATGGATACACTGGATGGAATAAGATTGGGGGAGGGGGGAGTATAAAAATAATAATAATATAATAAGGGCTTTTGGGGGGGGTGGGGAGCAGGGATAAAAGGGAGCAGACACCAAAGAGTGTAAGAAGAAAGAAAATGTTTTGGTAATGATGGTTGCAACAATTGTACAATCATGCTTCATCTTTCTTTGTTTTGTTTTGTTTTTCTTGTTGGATTGTATTTATTTTAGCTTTTAGTTTTTTTTCTTTTTAAAATCATTTTACTGGGGGCTTGTGCAACTCTTCTCACAATCCATCCATCCATCCATTGTGTCAAGCACATCTGTACATTTGTTGCCATCATCATTCTCAAATTATTTTCTTTCTACTTGAGCCCTTGGTAATAGCTCCTCATCCCTCCTCCCCAATCATGCTTGATCTAATTGCACTATGGATTGTTATCTGTAGGGCCTCCAATAAATGGGGAAAAAAGGTGAAGCAAGGTATATAAACAACCCATGACATACCTATGCCAAAGAATTTTCCACAATCTCATATATTTACTCTTGCTAAAGACTAATGAAAAGGTAAAGCAAGATTATTTAAATATTCAATATCTTAAGTCAAAGGATGGGGCATTTCAGATTCTTTGGCAAAGTATTTCAGAAAAACATATTTGAGCACTAGGAACTTCCTAGCTCTAATATCCAACCATTAGTGCCAACAGATGCATATATGCCACTGAGGGG